ATTTCAGCTTCAGTTGGATTCTGTCCAAGTGCTCGCAACACGTCACCCACCTAAAATGAGCTCAAGAGAACAAATGATGTGAAGCGATTTTTTGGATTGGGTGGCATTTTTGGGTATAAAGAATGCGCATACCTGTTGTACGCTTATCTTTTCATTCTCCTCTACTATCAAAATAGCAGAAGACCTCGCGACAGTCAGCTAACTGATCATCCATTGCACTTACCATCGACTACAAGCAATACGGCAATTACTGTACCAGTGTTCATAAAAATGTAAAGGTAATAAAGGACAGAGTACACCAAAACCGTGCAACAAGGTCAACAGAGATAAATATTCATCAAAATTTACAGACAGAATAATATACGGTCATTGTCAGCAACTTCAGAAAATTACAATGCAGTGATAAATTTACAATGAGTTTAGACATATGACAGCGTGTGCAAGTAGAGAATCGATCAAATTCCGACGGAATCTGCGAACACTGTCGGCTGACTGACCGAGGTGTCGGGTTGGCGGCACGGACCACAGCGTGAGTCATCTGCACCCTCCCAGCTACACGCAGTATTTCCAGCCGCTGATCCGACTCAGCACTTCGCTCGATCGACGGAATTCTTTATCGCCACAGAATTGAGAAAAGTTACGGATAAACAGGTTAATCGTACTGAGACCATACTATGCACAAAGTCAGAGGCAACTATAAGGAAGCTTCTAAACTATAATTCGGCACTATTCAACTATTCCGACCCCAAAAACTCAAAATTTTATTTTTCGTCGAAACTTCGCCTATAGGGGTAATTCGGTGCCCTGATCACGAAAATGAGGTTCATTTTTGGCGCTGGCGCCATTTGGCGCCAATTGGCGCCAATTTGGCGCCAAGGGTGTTTTCACCAAATTCGCTGTAAACTTGCACATAGGGGTTATTTAGGGTCCTGATCACGGATATGTCCTTAGTTTGGCGCTGGCGCCAAATTGGCGCCCTTTGGCGCAATTGGCGTTAAGGGTGTTTTCACCAAATTCGCTGTAAACTTGTGAATAGGGGTTATCGAGGCTCCTGATCACGAATATGACCTTAGTTTTGGCTCAATTTCTCTAGGTGACGCTCGAAATAGATGTCATCTAGGCGCTCATCCAGTAAGGGGGGCATCAAGTGGCTGCCCTCACCCCCCACCCCCCTAGACTGCCTACACTCCCCCTGGCACACAGGTTTCTCGAAGTACGGGACCCCGTGAGCCAGGGGGAGTGAAGCCAGTTCAGGGGGGTGGGGGGTGAGGGCAGCCACTTGATGCCCCCCTTACTGGATGAGCGCCTAGATGACATCTATTTCGAGCGTCACCTAGAGAAATTGAGCCAAAACTAAGGTCATATTCGTGATCAGGAGCCTCGATAACCCCTATCCACAAGTTTACAGCGAATTTGGTGAGAACACCCTTGGCGCCAAATTGGCGCCAATTAAATGGCGCCAGCGCCAAAAATAACTTTATATTCGTGATCAGGAACATGGGTTGGCGGCACGGACCACAGCGTGAGTCATCTGCACCCTCCCAGCTATACGCAGTATTTCCAGCCGCTGATCCGACCTCAGCACTTCGCTCGATCGACGGAATTCTTTATCGTACAGATGAGAAAGTTACGATAACAGGTTAACCGTACTAAGACCAATACTTATGCAAAGCTCAAGAGAACAACTATAAAGAAGGCTCTAATCTAATTCTAATAATGTAAAGTCGTTATTTCACACGAACGAGGAACGAAACCACAAGTCCATCATGTCGTAAGATGAACTCTACAAAGGCGTCCGATAGGATATCTGAAAAACAATATTTGCTTAGCCTTGTGCTACACTCCTTTCAAAACTTAGCAAACAATCCAAAGAGGGAAAAATGCCTACAAAATAGGCGCCAGTTATGCTCGAGACCATGACGCTCAAAACGCTGCTATGCGTATTGAAATAAATGGTGTGCTGCAGTGAACTAAACCACTATTCCAGTGAGTGTGGTCACAGCAGTTTATTAAAACAGCTTTGCCGCTAGAGCACATTGCAGATGCTTCGCTATCTAGGGCGCCAAAGGTATAGGCTTCGAGAAAATATTCAGTAGAGCGAGTTCTAGGCTAATCAGGTAAAGAGGTGGCGAGACTCGGAAATTTGATAAACTCCTCTCAAGACAGCGATCTCAAATCTTCACCCACTGGGTTTCCAGCCTCTAACGTTCTAATCTCAAATGAAGTCGCGAACATGATGTAACGACGAATTAATCATCCCCTTCGCCAGCTTCCCCTATTGAGTCCGAACTTTCTAATCAAATTTTGATGAAATTACCCGTTTATTCCTGTAAATAAGAGCATCGGAAAAACCATAGCCTCACTGTAGTAAAGTTGAGGAAGCTTACTTAAAAGCACATTAAAGTGCGCCATGTACATGAATCCAGAGAAGAAAGTGTGGACGATCTTCAAAGGCAACCTCACACTGCACCAATGCTCCTGAGTCTGCTCTTCTGAAAAAAGATATAGATAGCTTAAATAATAATCAAATCAAAAAATTTGACGAAGCGAGGGTACTTTCAGTACGCATAAAGTTACTTTTGTTCAGTTACTATGCGGCACAGCTTCTGTAATAATGCCTTTCATGTTTAGCCGAAGGATCACAACATTTTCGCATTATCTTTTCAGTGGAAACCTATCTTTTGTGTTTTAATACAAAAGAAGCTGGCAAAAACATATATGGTTTCAGTTTGACAAAACGAGAGCGTTATGTGGTGATCCACCAATTCCTCCAAATGTCTACTGTGGCACCAATTTCTATAAGAACAGAATCATGCCTCATGACTGGAACGCTCCCACTATTAATGTCACATTCGGACTATTGTGGCTGAGTCAAACTACCTGTTACAGTATCGTTCATCAAATTGTTGAAGTAGATCGTGATTTCTGCGTGCTCTACAAGGCACTTGAGATGCATTTCACCGTTATTGCTCACTTTCAGTGTCTAGAATAAGATCAGACTGTTACAATGTGAAGTGCTCGCAAGCACGAAGCAGCACCATTTTATTAACCATTTTATTATACCATATTATGAAACTTACAACATCCTTGTTGTTAACATTTTTGAGCGATTGTAGCACTCTCACAACAGCTTTTATGGGAGGAAAGTAAACACCCATCTGCAAAAAATGTATTATTTGGAGAACGCACGACTTTCACCAAATTTTTTTAAGAACCACATAAATTTAAGCGAGAATTCGCCTACTATTGGGATCAGGAGTTCTGGAGTTGAAAACTTTGGCCAGATGAGCAGTTTCAATAGGTCAACGGAAGTTCGTGTACAGGAATCTATCGCAGCTCTAGGGTGGAGGGAAGGACCCTGAAAGTGGTCGATAAACAAGACAGCAAACACCTTATGATGCAATACAGTACCAACAAACTAACTTCTTCTGGCTTCTGGCGCAGCTTCATCTTTAGATGAGTACAAGATCCGGCAACGATTTTCTCGAATATTTCTATATCGAGTTCCATGACTATTTCATTCCTTTCTTCGGACATGCCCACGAAATTCTAAACTGTCGAGGAGTTCTATCCAGAACAGTTTCTTAAATTATTGCGCAATTATATCTGAAATTTCGGAGCACTTCTGTGCAGTATTATTCTATTTTTCACGTATTTAATATATTCATTTGATCGCTTCATATTGGAGGAAAAGTGAATGAGGCATTTTCCTACGCAAGAGATTTACGCGTTTTGTGAGAAGAGTTCAGCCAGCTCGAGCATTACACGGTGAGTGGAGGCATGTCCCCTTATTGTTCTGCACGATAGCGCATCGCGTTCTTGTGACGTCCGCACAATAAAGCAGAAAGCAGACTGAATGAGAGCCATGAAGATTTTCACATGTTGTAATAGTGAATCAACTCGCTGGAAAAAAGCAAACTCACAAATGCATCAAAGTCCGGCCTTGATGGAATCAGGACACTAAGGAAATTCCCCTGCCCCGGAAGTGTCTCAGTAGCTACGAAACACATCCCTGAAAACAAATGCAAAGTTGGAGCTTCACTGGAGAAACTGAATCTTACCCTCTTGCGTGATCCTAGAATTCGCATCGTTTTTTACATTATGTCTGCGACCGCGCCAAATTTTCTGAAGAAAACACTACATTACGATGTGTTTGATAAATCATCTGGAAGGCCCGGCGGGGGCGGGGGCTACCATCACTTGCAAATGACTCAAATACTTTCCTCGCTCCGAGAGCACGGCTGAGAAGCGCATCACTAAAGCCGTTATTGAATTTTCTAATTATACAACAAAATTGCGATACGTAGAGTCCTCAACTCGAGAAATTTCACGAAAACGCACTTATTACACTCACTTTATTTCAAAATGAATGTCACTTTGAAGGATCACCACCGACAAGAGACACACCAGAGTTCTACAAAAATAATGATAGAGTTCATAAATTTCAAATGCATGAAAGCAGAGACAAAAAACATACCGCGATGAAGAACTCCGCTGAAAGTTCAGGAGAGAACGGAGATTTTATCAGAGTGATGCGCCTTGATGTGTTCGATTTATGAGAAGTTCGCTCGAGCCAAATTCTAATAGTTGGACGTCGCGCCAGAACACGAGATAGAAACGGTGATGTGGCCCATTCTTCGGAAGCTGGATCTTTTCGAGAAGCTACATGATTCACATAGACTACCTACAAGAAAGTCGATTAAGAACTGTCATTGAAGAGCGTCGGAATTTCTAAAGTATGTTTTTCTGGAGCTACATATCATGTATGGAAGACCCACCGCAATATCATGACGAAGGGCCACATTGCATAAAATTGTGAGCACCCGCCGCCAATTCTGAAAGTCGTCCTTATGACGACTGCCACGGAAGAACGTTGCGATAGAGTCAATAATCAACACCGAAGTCTGAAACGGTTGTACATTAGGACCAGGATAAGCTACTTTCAAAACCTGCCTATACAATAATGGCCTTCAACTGGAGAGGAAATAAAACCAATAAGCATGATGCATTTTTTGGAACAAAAAAATCATTTTAAGAGATGTTTTGTGCTCCAGTTTCCAATTCTGACAAGAGCTTGTTGTGACCTACACTCCGTTGCCATTCTCACTGTACAAATATGACTCAGGTGTAAGAACTACCGACGATCCGAGCCATGCTTTGTGGTAACACAATCTTTAGCGTGTGTAATCTCAGTATGATGATAGAAGTGCTCAACTTCACTTTCAGCCCCATAAAATCTGTTATAAGCCTTATTTGTCATTTTCTAAGCCACCTTACCTTATCCAGCTCTTCAGTCGTCTGTTCAAGCTTGGTTAATACGTGCATAAATTGCTCCATTGTGCTGGGTGACGAGATCAGCAGACGTTGTAGTGCTTCTTCAACGTTTTCCGCACGAAATTGCAACATCTGAATTGGCTTCGTGAAAATCATCACGATCGACACACAGAAATTTGAACTCAACATTTCCCTGACCCTGAGATCAAAGATTCCTTGAGCTCCATTGTCTGACGAGCTTCTTTGTATTCTATAATAGCTTCCCCTTCTTTCAAATTTTCATAGCCTACGGACCCATCTTCAACCTATTCGTATTTGTCCAATGAGGTTCATTTGAGTTGCTACATGTACTCGACACGTATTAACCTCATTTCATATGCATTGCAGATTGCCAACTCTAAAAAAGGGGGAATTATTGTCCCTCCAGGGACTGAGCAGCAAACTATTCTTCGAAAAATTCACTTTAGACGGCAAGAAGCAACGCTCATTTCTTTAAGAGAGGCATTCAAAACAGGCATAAAACCGCTGGTTGGTTACACAAGGACTAAACCCAGGAGAGGGGAGAAACACCACGGAGAACAAAAGGTTGCTCACGTCCTCCCCAGAATCCCTTCCCATCCCTGAGGCTTACCTCCAACTTCATTATCTGGCTCACTTCCCCCCATAACGACGTGAGCGCCTAAAAAGCAAAAAAAAAACATTGCTGAAACTAGAAGTGTCCCGACTCATTTTCAGTTTAGCTTCTGGAACTTAAAAGCTACCACAAGACGGCGGCATTGCCACGGCAACAAATTGAAGCCGCGGTAAACTTTTACTCCCTTATATGAATGCTCAGTCTCAGGAATGAGCCTCATGGGGAAAAGAATGTGCGTGAGCATACCCGATTTTCCCAATTTCTCTTCCTCCAAAGCTCAGTCCGATAGCGCCAGTATTTACGCTTACCAATGTATCAAGGTCTACTATGATCAACAGTATTCTCCGAGAAATTACTCTCCTTTCAACTTCGAAACAAGATCCTTTGTGCTAACTTAGTTGGGGGGACCACACTGCCATCGCGTGTCGCTCGGTGTTCGCTGTCGGTTTGGCAAATTCATAAATTGGGGGCAACTACAAAAGCTTAAGCAGGCCCTTCAGCCCAAGGGCAGTTTATTTTCGCTGCACGCCGTCGCAGTTTCGAAATACGTGCAATCGGCGGTTCCTCCTCCCCCCCCCCCCAATTAAGCTAGCACCAAGGTCCTAACAGAACCTCACTGTTAAAACACCAGTTCACTGCAACTCGTATAACTTCGTATAATGCTTCAAACGGGTGAGCTTCGTCTCACGGAAGAAGCTCGTTCGGTTTCCACGCACACAACATTGTGACCGTTTGCAATTGAAACAGCGGCGAACTGCATGCTAGAATAAATTCATAAATAGTGGCAAGACTACCAAAGTTAAGCAAATTTGAACTCAAAAAATTACCATATTTGCGACTTGCCACATCCTGCTTCACCTGAAATCTCGGTAACTGTCCCCGGAAGAAAGCCACCACCTGTTCAATAAGGTTAATTGTAGGTTAACGTATCACATCAAGATAGAACGAGTTCAAACATGATTACCTATCAGGTCATCGAGAAGCGGACAACCCGATGACAGAGCAGCCTGAGTTGGACGATTCGAAATCGTGAAGTTCCCGCGCGTTTTTGAAAACCACTGGAGGGCTTTGCGACATGTCTTTACTATAAACGCTAATCAAAGCAGGGTCTATTCCAGTTAGGGGGGGCATCATGATGCAGTTTTCCAGAAAGCTAGGGTAACTCCGAGCCAGGGGGAGTGTAGCCAGTCTAGGGGGTGGGGGTGAGGGCAGTCACTTGACATGCGTGAAAAGCTGGAATGTTCGAGTTCACACTAGTTCGCCGAGAAGCTGCATCATGATGCCCCGGTTTACGGACTACTTGATTTTTCCTCAATGGTCCTGCCGCGATGGCTAGAGCACAGACGATTAGAGAACGGGTGAATGCCCTAGGACTAAGCCTTGGAGAGGAGAGGGACCCGCGAGAGAGCGCAGAGGTTTAAAGGGCTGAGTTCAAGTAGGCCGTCAACTATGATGCTCCCCCTAATTGGAATAGGCCCTCCAAACATTTCTTATAATATGCTAACAGCGCCGCTTTTCGAGGTAAGTAACAAAGGAAACCACGGGTATTATCCAGTAAGGGGAGGGGCATGTGCAACATTTCATGCCGGCTAAAGTAATCGAATTTTTCGCAGGACAAATACAGGCCGCTAGGACAGAGAGTGACTGTTCTTTTTCGCGGCGCAAAACGTTTTCGCTGCGGGAATCCCCTTAATCAGGGACGGGGCTCTCGCAGCGAAAAGCGAAAACTCCATTTTCCCGTTCTTGTTCTCTGAACTTAAACTCACTTTAAAGGAATCTTGCGCGGAAAATTCTTGCACTCTTTCCTAACATGAATATGTCAGTTGTGATCACTGGAAATAGCACACAAAGTTTCACGCATGAAGATTCGGTTTCTGAAGAGAAACAAACGTACAAAAACTACACGTTATGGACCATCGAAGGACCAGGAGGCAGAGCCAGGCGAGGCATGGAAAGAAGACGGCGTTTGGCCGGCTACGTACCAGGCGACGCAATGAGAGAATCGGGTTAAAGCGCGCGATTTCGGAGAGTGGAGACAAATCGATCGATGGAATAGGATGGAGTAGAAGTGTAAGATGTGAATGCAACGAAGCAGAAGGCCAGAAAGAGCTTCTAGTGAATGCACTCCAAGAACCAAGTTTGAGCATCCCCGTCGCCAGCATTCGTGAAAGACGTCCGTGGGCAATTCGAACGCGTAGCAGCCTTTTCGATTTTTCGAATTTCTAATCAAAACGAAAGCAATACTTCAGTTCTTTTCACTATTATCGTGGATAATGAGTCTCAAGCCAGTGATTTATGGCTGAAATAGAATCATGGTTTTTTCCGTGCAAGATTCCTTTAAAGT